AACTGCACCAATCATGAGTCAGTGTTAGTGCAGCCTCTGCAGCTCAGGGAGTAGAGCCCAACTGATATGGATTTTGTTGTGGCCGATATGAAACCGATATAATGGGATTTGGTACTGCCGATAGCCGATATATTTAGTGATGTAAAAATTCACTGTAAATCTTGAATTGTTTAAAAAACTTAGGTTTGGCTCTAGTGGATTTTAAACTGGGTTTATTTAAGCAACATTTATTGTTATTCTGCCTCTTTAAGTCATATTTACAGACAGAAGTTCGGCCTAATGGAATTTTTGCATTACATTCTAGCTACTAGTGATGGGTATTCCAGTTCTTTTTAGAGAACTGGCCCTTTTGGCTGGGCTCACTAAAAGCAGCTGGCTCTTTTGGGTCCCAAGCGGCTCTTCAGATTGTTTTGTTGCAAGCAGGACTAAACCAGAACTGAACCAGGACTGAAAAAGGACTAAACCAGGACTAAAACAGATCTAAACCATGTGTAAAACAGGACTAAACCAAAACTGAACCAGGAGTGAGTGTCGGGACTCGGTCTCTATCTCTTCTCCTTTTCTCGAGCCCAAGATTAGTCCTGTTTATTTATTTTATGCACGCAACATGCACGTTTTTTCTATCCTATGCATAGGCATAATTCTGAAAGTTTCGTTTTGAGCCGCTGCCGCTGTCAAACTACCATGAGTCTGCACACAACGTGAAGAGAAAAAAAGTGAGAGAAAGAGAAAACACGACTCCCAATAAGGAGCCGGCTCTAAGAGTCGTTTCGTTTGCGACCGACCCATCACTACTAGCTTGTAAAGAAACTACTGCTATTAGCCTTTAGCCGTAAATACGTGCGCCGCGGTAATTAATTATATGCACAAGTATCATCATTCACACGTCTATTCACAGCTCATTTACATATCAATGCAGGTCCAGTAACAAATATACGGCCAAAATATTCACTTTACAATAGAGACCAAAAGAAAACAGTCTGTTTATGTGTGAGAGACACAGCAGCTAATAGCTAACTAATGAGAATAACAAAAGTAGCTTCAAAGTCGACATATTTCCAACACTCAGCCTCACACAGGCTCCTCACATCACAAGTCTGCACTAATAAATGTCCTTTTAATCCAGACTCAAACCGATTGTCCGTAAAAAGAAAATAATCTTAGTGTTTGGATCTGTGTCTGTGAGTGTAAACAAACACATGTGAGTGACATGACTCTATGGTGTGTTCAGGGACAGTAGGACACACACACTGACAAATGACTCTGCAGATAAATACTGATGTGGAGCCACATATTAGGACATTTATCTGTCTGTAAATTGGATTAAATGAACAGAATGTAGATAATCTAAACTTTATAACGAGGTATAACATGCCCACGGGAAATATCAGCCCATATTCAGCAAACATATCGGCCCATATCGGTCGACAATATTGGCCAACCGATATATCGGTCGGGCTCTAGTTCTGAGCTTTCACATGAGGCCTGAACATAAACTGAGAATGAGACTTGGATGTGTCTCTATCTGCAGGTGAAGGCTCTGGGGACACAGGTTCACTTGTGATTGTAGGATCTTTATTAAAACTGTGAGAGCGCAAGATACTTATGTACATTTATTCCTTAAAGTGTATTATGATGTTTCAAATTTAGAGAGTGAAAAATAACACGAGAACAGGAGGATGCTTGTCATGTGGCCGTGATGTGAGTGGAGCCCTAAACAAAAGCTGTGACAGTCACAGCTCTCACAATTTTGGGACTTTCTTCATTTGGTTGGCCCAGTCATACAGCAGCTAAACAAGGAGAGACAAGTGAAGTCTGGTGGGACAGAAAAAACACCTCTGCTCCCAGTGAAGTGTCCAGTGACAGTATCACACTTCTCCAGCATCTTCTACGAGGTTTGAACCTTTTGACCATACGTTTGAGGGCTGTACATACATAATTAGTCTGATTGTTTGATTTCATGCTCGCATTTCCAAATATGGGCTCTGGTTGCAGATTAACCGCTATAACTGTTCGCCTCAATTGGCTTCATTTGGCTGGAGCTGAACACTATAGGTGACTATTATACAGTCTATGAGTGCACTGTTTACCTGTGACCCTGAGGCGGACACGTCCCTCCCTGTTCTTCGTCTTTATTCTAACTGTATTTACATGTTTATAAAAGTATATTGTTCATGTTTTACCTGTGACCCTGAGGCGGACACGTCCCTCCCTGTTCTTCGTCTTTATTCTAACTGTATTTACATGTTTATAAAAGTATATTGTTCATGTTTTACCTGTGACCCTGAGGCGGACAGACCCTGTCTTGACACGTTTACATTTGTTAACTGTCTTGTCTTTATTCTAACTGTATTTACATGTTTATAACTGTATATTGTTCATGTTTTACCTGTGACACTGAGGCGGACACGTCCCTCTCTGTTCTGTTCGCCCACAGGTGCAGCCAGGTAACACTGGTACACTGCCTGGTCTGAGCAGGACACTGTGGGCAGCTGCAGGTTCAGAGTCCCCTTCTCCAGAGAAATCCTCGTGTCTGCGTCCACATACCACCTCATCTGACCAAAAGGGAGCGTTTTGG